TCTGCCGCCGTCAGCTTAAATGAGGCGCCGCCCTGTTCAAGGACAAGTGAAAAGGCATCAGCGATGTTTGCCCTGTGCGAATCACAAATCACTTCCTGGGGCATACCAGCCCATGAAACCCACCGTTCCATGAACACTTGACGCATGACCTGAGCTGTCTCTTTCCGGAATATCGGCACCACCATCTGAAGCGAACTGGCAAAGTCCACTATATTAATAGCTGGAATTCGCTGATTGGTCTGCCATCCCTTGAGATACTTAACATCCACCCCTACAACAGCATTGAACTCAGTCACCCTTGTGGTTTGAGCAGGAAGGGCTACCTTGGGGTTCTTTTGGGCTTCGCATTGATCGCACTGGAATCGACGGGCAGCATCGATGGCAGCTACTGATGCTCCTCCATGCTTGAGGACCCTTAGCAGCACGGCTTGAGAAGGATGGCCTAAGTTGTTATGCAACTTACGGAGGCTTGATCTGATCTTATCTTCTGGCTCTTGGTTCAGTTCCTCAAGCGAATGAGCGACGAGACACTCGATGTTCCGGTCATCCATCACTATGAGACACTCAGCTTCCGGGAGTCCTTTGACAGTGCGAAGAACAGCTTTCACAAAGGCTGGAGTGTACTTACCTGCAAAAGTACTGATCGCTCCTACCTGAGGGTGACTGCCGGCCACTACTTGATGTCTGGAGTGATCTCCATGGGACGACCCGGGGCATCGTTTGGCAATTCCCTTCATGCACTCATGTGAGACCAACAAATTTGTGGTCTTCCGGATCAGGTCGCCACCTGGGATTCGAAGGCCATACTGACACATATCGACGACGATCATGTGCATGAACTTGGTCAGTTTCACCATGCTGGGGTGATGCCAAGCTACAGAATCTTTGGGGTGTTCGAACAAACATTGTCCACCATACGAAAACTGCAGTTCCATGAGTTCACAACAAAACTGAATGAACACCCTGGTCCAAAATTCCCGTTGAGCGACCTCCTTATCAGTCATGTGTAGGCGGTTGAGGTGCCACCATCCACCTGCCCACGTGCATGGAGGGCAACACACTAACAACTTGGGTCGGCTTGTTCGAACATGCTCCTTGAGTGCATCACGATCGGCTCGGCGGCGGAAATCCCAACCTGTGCATAAGTCGGCCGACAACACAGACCATCCGACCTTTGCACCTTCAAGCGCAAAACGAGGCGGAGAAAACACTTCGATGATATCAAAGGATGAACCCTTGACAGGACCGGGAGCCTGCAGCTGAGCCATGAGCTGCCGATGTTGTTTGGCAGTCCAGTGCATGACACTCAGCTTTTCGTCCTGGGCCCCGACGGGGATCGGAACTGACGCATCGGGTCGGAGTTGGAAGATGGTGGTTCCGGTCCACGGCTTCGAATCATGTTTGCGATGGGCTCTCTCCGGATCGGTCCACAAATCTTCTGTTGTTCGGAGGACGGAGGCCGGGCTATCGACGGTAGTAGTTCGACTGGCCTGAAGAAGATGCACGTCGATTGGACACTGTGTGTTGTTTGGTGTGAACAAGGTTTCCCTGGGCTTACGATGGTGTCTAATCACAATGCGTTCTTGAGGCCTATACTCCCAATAGTCTTTCTGTTTTTTGGGGATGACGATCATACGCCACCGAGATGCATGCTGTCGGCTCCAGAGTGGCCTGCTCGTCATGGGCCAGCGGCGGAAACATGGTTTGAGCCTGACTTGGGAAATCGGACACCTTGATGGCATACTGTCCAGCTGCATTGACCTCCAGGGGCACCCGAACTCGATCAGGAAAAAACTTGCAGGGTGTCACCTGAAAAATCAACTTGAGCCTGCAACTTCTTCAGGGCAGGCCGAGAAAGCAACAAGGGAGCTCTCCCTTTAACTACGGCAGCTGTCACATAGCCGGGGCGTCCGGCCAAGAAGACGGGCATGTCCACCACAGTTTCACTCATTTCTTGTTCACCATTCCCATAGCGGAAACTATTGCGTTCCGCCTTTTCTGGTCGGGGAGCAATACCATGTCTTTGCCAAATGTCCTTAAAGGAGTTCAGCGTGTCGCGACCGATGATTGTTTTCCCGCAGCCGCTGTCCAGTACTGCAAAACCTGGACTGCTCACCAATAGCACTTCATGTTCCTCACAGCGAGCAGCAGTACATACAAAATGTTCAAGTGGCTCACAGACTTGGACAGTTCCTGCAGCATGGCTTGGAGCCTGGTGGGAAGCCGATGACGAAGAGCCCTGGCGACACTCTCGTTGCCAATGTCCCAGTTTTCCGCACTTACGGCATCGTGTCCGTTGCTTCAGCTCCTCCACCTGAACCCTGAAGGACCGTTTGAAGTCCTTGGACGCTCCAGCTCCCTTGCGGGCATCAGGCGCAGAAAAACGACGTCCTTTTTTGCACCATGTTCAACTCAGCCCTCTTTTCTTTCCATGTCGCAGCTAAAATCTCAGCTGCCTCTTCCTCCTCGAAGCCCTCTGTGTCACCAGCTGAAAATGAAGGATCCTCTTCATGATGGCCATGTTCGGCCAAAAAACAACTCCACATCACGAAACCCGTCATATGACGGCTCGTCCAGGGGTTCTGACACAGAAGGGGGGTCGTCCAAGGTCACAGCGGCAACGGCTCGCTTCTTGGGCACCACATAGTCCGGGAAGCAAGACCTCATCGATTGCGAGACCTGATCAAACTTCAAGTCCCCTTGAGCACGTGCCAGTACGACCGCACGTTGTTCAGCTTGAAGACCACTGCAATTCAGGAGTATCCATCCACGAGCTTCTTCAGGGAATTTTACTCCAGTCTTTCGAGCACAGCGGTCGAAGGTTTCACGGCTTCGAGCACGCCATTGGCGGACACTCTCGCCCTCTGTCGCCTTCAGGGCGAATACAGCAGCTATGGTTTCTCCTATCTCATCTGTCCGGTCCAATTCCGGCCAACGTTTGTCAAGGAGGTGGAAGATCACCTTGTCCCCGCCCTTGACCTGGTAGTCACTCTCCTTGAGGTGCTCGATAACCTCGAGTGCACGGCCAGAAAGAAGAGTCCAAACAAAAGATCCACGAGAATCTTCAGCCAGCTTGTCCATGGTCCGCATTTTGTTCACGACCCATTGTTTCCACCTCCTATACTCTCCCGTTGAAATAACGGAGAGAAGTGCCAGCCTCCATAGCAGCACGGTCGACGACCTAGGTATGCGTCCAGCACACCGAATCCTACAGGAGTCAGGATTTTACCTGCTCCGCTACCAATGATGGTAGCCCTTGCTCCGCGCACCGCGCGGACCTGTTTTCCTCTTGGGCGTAAAAGTCCCTGCACGGTTGACCAAATCAACACTCCATCTACTTTCTAAATTGGCGAGGGATCGAACTGCCGGGCAACATTGAACCGCTGGACATGCTCTGGCCGCAAGCATTCAAGTAATCCACCAGATCTTTCAACCCTGGTGACCCTGTCTTATAATGGCTCACGCAGTAGGATCGATAGCTGGCGAGATCAGGATCGTTGGGATCACGCATTTCCTCATAGGTCTTCACACCCTTGTACTTGCCAAAGGCCACTAAAGAGGATCCCCACTGGCTGATCGACGTCACACCGGGCGGCAGATTGCCTTGGGGATACGGAGACTGGGCCTGCTCCGGCGACACCGGCATCGGAATGGGCATGGTCGCTCCCACCGACGAAGCAACATATGAGGCCATCTCTGGGCCTGTGGACTTCTTTTCTTCACGAAGACGCTTGCAAGCATCGGTCATAGTTCCAGAAGGGGAACCCTCCCACTTGAGGTCAAGTGAGATATCTTCGACATCTTGCACACGCTTCATCAGGGCATCCCATGCACCACATTTCCTGGCTTTGAGAACCAGGCGGAAACACTCGTCAGCTTCGGCTGGAGTGAAAACACCCTTAGAGTTCATGACCATGATCACTCGCACACGAACGGAAATCAAGCTCGACTTGTTCCACTCTCTTGGAGAAAGCTTGAACCATGTAACAAACACGGAGGTTGTTTGGATATTATTCTGCTCGGCAGGGTTAGGTTCTACTCAAATAAACAAAACACATGCATCATGAATTTACTCTCTGCAGAAACAAGCACGACAAACAAACAAAAAAAGGATAGGCGGCAGCTTCACTATGGTTTGGTATTCATCAACCCTTAAGTGCATCACTCAAAATAACTCGTTATTATCCCTTGAGACTA